TCATTCATTCATTCATTCATTCATTCATTCATTCATTCATTCATTCATTCATACATTCCATTCCATTCCATTCCATCCCCAACCACTGGCTAGTTGGTTAGTTTTCTTAATGTTTTGTACAGTTGGCTTGCTGGGAAGTCAAAAGCCCCATTCCGGTGACAAACTTGCCGGGATGCAGCCTCCATGAGGTTGACTTCAAGGTGTCTTTCTCTTTCCTTTCTAATGCAAAATCTAAATTCTCCTAGGCCTGCTCATACTTGTTGCTTGTGCCTGAATGGGGATGTTTTGAATCTGTATCAGATGCTGCTGTAATTTATGAGAAGCATAACCCTTGCCACAATGATTCATAGGAAATGTAATTTATTAAATAGCAACAAGTTGTGACTATTAAACTGAAACATTATTTTAGTATTCTTGAAATTCAGAAATTTCTAATAACAGTCACCTATAAATGCACAGTTGACAAAGAGAAGCCTTTATAGGTTCAAAGATTAAAGATAGGCATATACAATTCTTTGTATATTTGAATATATTTTCCTGCATATTGCAGCTTTCTTTTAAAAGTATAAACTAGAAGATTCTTGTAGGCCTATGCATAGCAGACAAACTCTGACAAGGTGCTTTGCATGCTGCACCATGGAGGCAACTCTGTTTGCATCATTAAGATGCAGCAATGACAATAAAGCACCTTAACAACTCCTAGGGCCCACTCCAGCCCTCTCAGTAGGAGCCAAAGGAGGCTCCAGAAATGACATGGGATGAACATTGAATTGCTCTTTAGGAAAAAGGTCCACATTGCTTCACAAAGTAGCTTTGTATGGCCACTCTACTCAAAACATCATCATATAGTAGTGAAGCACTTTTCAAAGCTTTACCCAACTGGGTCCTAGCCTGTCTATAAATGACCAGAGATATGATGTACCTATTCTAATTGCCATTTACATTAAGCACATTTGAAGAATTTATAAGGCACCTGTAGAAATAGATATTTTTGGGATCTAGATTGTGAGGTCACTTCCTACAGAAAATTATGCCAAAGTGAGTGAGAAAGAGGGCAGGCCTCAAACTCCAATTGGTTTAGAAGGATCACTTTACATCCTGCACTTTAGAAGCCCTTTCACAACATGTCCTTTACCTGACCAATGTGCAGACAGCACATCCTAAGGGTGTCATTTTAAATAACTTCAAGGAGTATAGAAGTGATTCTTGTTCATGCTTTTATTTTCATAATACAGTGATGATAATGGCTTCTAATTTCTGCATCTGCGGTGGCAGCAGTCTTGGACTGGAACTGGGGTTCAAATTTTTTCTCAGCCACACAACACACTGAATAATTTGGGGGTTGTCTCCATTGTTCAGCTTAATCTACCCCACAAAGTCTATGTTTGCTGCCTGGGGCTACCATAAGAGAGGAAGGAAATGAGTGCATAAATGTGCTGACAGCCCAGTAGATTATAGAAATGCCTCAGGGTTTGCCCACTAGTGCTTTGAAATATGAATATTAGGGAAGATGGTGAAGAAGGTAGCGCAGGATTGAATCAAGGAATGAAAATGAAATAGTAAAATACATGACCACCTTAGAAAGTGTTGCCCTTATTTTAGTTAATTGTAGCAATGTTCTCTGACTACAAGCAATAATGTCAGAAGCATTTGTTGGAAAAGTCAGTGATTGGGTTCATCTATTGTGCTAAGCTATGATTTGTTTAGCCATGCTTATTGGATAAGCTGCAATTAGCAGAGTTAACACTACCATAAACCGTGGTTAACAGGCCAGAATGGATGGGTTTATACAAGCTAAGCCAAACCAAATATTCTGTGGCTCAGCATGGTACATGAACATGGCCTGTGTGTTAAAACTAAAATTTTTTTAGTACAAACTGATACTCAGTATCAAATCATCTGATAATTTAGTCACTCAGTTATTTCCTGATGAGCATGCAAACAATTTCCTATTTCCAAATTTGATACTTGAGCCATTGCATATAGGGACTTAATCACCATTGTGACAATCTAAGACACATGGTTTACAATAGCTTTTTCCAATGTGTCACCCTCCAAATAGATTTGGATTGCAATTCGCAAAGTTTTCAGGCAGCATGGCCAAAGGAGGTTATCGGGCAATCATGGGAGTTACAGAAGAAACAGTTTGTTGGCCTCTATTAAAGTACTAATTATACCCTCTACTCTTGTGTCAATAGCGAGACTTCCAATGTTGTAACTTTATGGTGAAAACTAATACATAAACTATAAGAGACATCAGTATTATCTTAACTGCTTGCTACCAAGAATTTGGTCTGCAATTTACAAATGAATGGTAAGCTGTGGCCTTCAAACGTTGCTTGTACAGTAGTGGCAAACCAAAACTTTCACAGTGTGGTAAAATAATGCCATTGTAGACTAGCCCCATTGGCAGTAGCAAACAAGCCTTTGAACGACAGGGGATGCCCAACCTTAGCCAATAACAAAGACCTTGCACCTTCTGTCTAGACTACCATGCAGACACCACAACCTTGACTTGCCCGGGAATGTGATGCATAATTGTGTAGTTCCAGTAACTGTTATCTATAAACAGTCTGGGGCCTGATGAAAAGGTTTCTGTTTCCTACAATAGAGAGTAGCCTTTCATGCTTGGAAATGCTCGTTCATGCATTAGGTTTCCTGATTTTAATGGGGTCATTCTTGTTTGTTGGACATTTGTTTGCTTTTTAAATATAAACTAGTTTTGCAGTGTGCATGCCTTGCATGCTAATTACAGGGACACAGCTTTAAAAAGCTTAAATGGCTGTTTTTGAACAGTTGTCAAGTAAGAAAGAGGTGTCTGGCCGCATGGAGCCCTAGGATGTGAAAGGTTAGCAAAATATTGGTAAGTGGTTATGATTGTCACAAGGAGAGCTGCTGGGAAAATGGCAAAATTGTTTTGTCTACTTGAATCTACTCCCACGTATTTTCAGCCCAACACTGAATGATGTAGGAAGTTGTTCTTAATTGTTCAGCTTATGGACTCAGCTTCACTCATTAGCTATTTTGCAAGAGTAGACTTCAGATATTATTATTCCTAGGACTTTAATAATGATAGCCAATATTATAGATATAATTATTTTGTTGGGTTTATTGCCAATGGGTAGTTTCTCTGGAACTTAAAAAAACCAGACCAAACCAGCAAGAAATATCAGTGTACTTGTATGGCAATACCACCTGGGATTTCACTACTTTTTTTTTTTTTTTACTGCTAAGTCAGTTCTTATCTTGAGGAGATCTGTACTTCAAACTTGCATTTGAATGGTCTGAACCTATAACTGTTTATGATCCCTTGGGCAGGGCAGGGTTTTATTCTATTGGTACCTATGCAGTAGAAGCTGAGATCTTGGCTGAGTTCACAAAACATACTCAGCTACAGAGTGGCTTGTTTGGATTTTAGTTTTGCTTGCAGCTAACCAGCCACTGCATAAACTAACCATGTTTATCAAACCTTGACTTGTGTATGTGTAGATGTGGAATTCTTCCAACAGATCCTGGTCTATCAAATGCTTTACGCAATGGTGTGTACATGAATGGAAACATAGAAATAACTAGAATATACCTAGATATTGTGATATAAGTATCATGAATGAGTGTAACTGGTATTAAGACAGGAAGTGCATCACCCTCTTAATTGATTTTTATGTTCTTCTTGATAGACATTCTTGAAAATTGCTGCGAAGCATACAATGTTGGCCTCGAAGGAGCTAAAGTGTTTTCTGGCTCCCCAAATGAGCAATTTGGATATTTAGTCCAACAGCTTTCAAACCAAGAAGGCAAATGGTAAGCATTACAGTACTTCCTGTATGATAAAGGAGAGGATCATCTTTGTTATAGTTGTGTGTCTTTTTTTATTTCTTAAGGAAATGATAAGATAATTGAGTTTCTTTTTTATTTTTCTCTTTTTTTAAAAAAAGCTATAGATAATAACTAGTACAGTATACATACATTCCCATCTTACTATTCCCTTTTGGAGAAGCAGCATTATGCAAAAGGTAGAAAAGAAGTAAGATTTAGTAATCCAAAGAAATTAAGGCAGAAGAATAAAAAAAAAGGAATAAGCTTAATCTAATTTACAACACCACTCTTCAATATACCTCTTCATATCTTTCTGCCCTTGCAAGCCATTCTTGCTTTTACCACATCCATTTAAAGATGTATATGTTCCCTTTTCTTTAAAATTCTCACTTTTCTCTTTCTGAGGATCCACACATGGCTTTTTCAGTCTTCCTCTTCTTGACCATTCACTTTTCCTTCCTACCTTTGTTTTGCAATTCAGTTCTCATTCATTCTTTCTGTACAACCCCCCTCTACAAGTATCTTTCATACTGGTCACTCTCTTTTGTATTCAGTCCATATTTCCTGTGAGAAAACAGAACAATGGTAAGGCTGTAGATGGTGTAACTCTGTAACTGTTAGGTATGGATGTGGTTCCCTGATGGAGTTGCTTAGTTTGTTAAGTATGCCTGGGATACTTAACAAAAGGTGATAGTGAGTCAAGTTTGGGAAGGGCAATATGGCTTTCGGCCAGGCAGTATGTGCCAACCAGATTTGTCCTTTTCAGCAGGCCATATATGAATGTAAGAAAGAAAGATTAGTTGATTTATTGATTTACAGGAAACATGATGGCCAATAGGCTTGAATTATGGAATTTTTGTGCAAATATGGAGTTGAAAAAGTGTTGCTGAACAGTATATGAGGGAATAAAAACATCCATGAACATAAATAGACTATTTAGTGCGAATAGTTCAACAATGAGCAGGGAATAAGACAAGAATATGTGATGTGTCCTTGGTGGTTTAATATATTCATCAACAAAAGTATTTAGGCTACATGTGAAAAACTAGAGCAAGCAGATAAATTTGTTTATATTGGCAAAATGTTTACTAAGTATGGGAAAATGGATGGAGAAATTTCAAGACATGCAAAATCTGGTAGGAAGGTTGTAGACAGTCTGCAGTCTGTAGCAAGAAGTGAGAGTGTTAGAAGAATTTAAAAAGGCAACACAAAAATATACACTTCTGCCCACTATGTTATGTGGAAGTAACAGTTGAGTATGACGGAAGAAACATAGTAAGTTGACTGCAGTGGAAAGAAGAAAAATATGGATCGAATTAAAATATGAGTTGCTAAATGTAAAAGAAGTATGTTCAGGTGGTTTTGACATACTGGGAGAAGGCTAAAGAACTGGCTGGCTTCAAAGTCTGTTCCACTGAGAGTGAACGTGGGCAGGCTAGGAAAGGAAGGGAAGAGATAGCTGCAGGCAGTGTTTCTCAACCTTGACAGCTTGGAGATGCGTGGACTTCAACTCCCAGAATTGGGAGTTGGCTGGCTGGGGAATTCAGGGAGTTGAAGTCCACGCATCTCCAAGCTGTCAAGGTTGAGAAACACTGCCTGCAGGCAAGTCAGTTGGGAATTTACCTCATAAACAGAGGCTCAGCCCAGGTGGGGAGAAATCTGGGAAAAGAACTTCAAAGTACTTATGTAGGAATTTACTTGTTAGAAATGAGACTGAGAAAGGTCCAAGGTTCTGTATTTACCTCAGCTGAGCATGAAATATACTTTCCTGAACCTGTGTACCTTTGGTTAGGTGGGGCCGGATGCCCGCCCACAGGCATTCACTGGGTGCTGCACCCATTTGTATTCTTGAAAAGTAGGACATATAGGTCATAATAATAAAATGATAGGTCATAGGCTGATTTTCACAGATAACACATTCTGAACCCTCCCACAGTCTGCTTTATGTTTATCCAGCTCTTGATTTCATAGAATTTCTACTCATTGCAAGAATATATACGGGGAGGGCATTCAGAAGGCTGACTAATTGTTCTTAATAGCTGAGTCGCAGTATTGTGTAAGGGAGAGAAACAACTGATAAAACAGCAAAATGTTAGTGCATATAGTAAGAATGCATTAAGTTTGATTTTATAAACTTATCATAAATTTTGTCTGCACGAGAGAGAAAGATGAGTCCAAAAAACACGCTAAGCCATATTTTGCATAACCATGTTTTATTGAATAAACCACAATTGGCTAGTTTGTAGAATATTTGAAGCCCAGATCTGTGATTTATAATCTACAATGGCTGGGTTTACGCATTTCAGCCAAATATGTGAAACAAACAGCAGATAAACCATATAGTTTACATATACATATTGCATACAAAACAGAAGAATGAATTTAAAATTGGTTGTTTTCTTCCACTGAGATCAATTACCTTTTGTATTGGTTGATTTTATGCTCTGTTTGATATCTTCTCCAGGAATTTTATTTTCAACAAGTCTTTCTTTCAGCTGTTTTATTTTTGCGGTTGTTTTAATTCATCTCAAGCACTTGTACTTTTTTTTTTAAATGGGGTGAAAATGCCTTGGTTTTAAGCAAGCCTGCCAAACTAATTATTGTAAATACCTAATGAAAGGAATTATTTGTTGTGTTACTATAGAAAATATCTTTCATTACTCAATAATTTCAGTGGGTGGGAAGGCTATCATGATGTTTTGACCACTATCATAAACATTTAAAGGGGAAAAAGTGCATATCTAGATGTGTGGTAGTGATGTGACCGAGTGACTTTCTACCACATCCTTCCATTGTTAGTTTAGAATTTTAGTATCCACTGCTGGATGCTAAAATTCCCATTGAAGTTTCACAATAAAAATAAATTACAGTATATGCTGGGGAAATGTCATACACATAGAAATTGACAGGAAATACTGGAAGTGGTGGAAGAGAATAAGTGGGCACAAAATAATTACAAATTAAATCACCAAATGGGCAGCTGAAGGATTATCTTATTGAAATTGATTATTTCCTAATGATCTTTTTAGATATTGTAAGGTTCACGGCTACCCAGGAAACTTGAAATCAATCAGCAACACAAAACAAGAGACTTCAAGCAGGGACTTC